TAAGTATAACATCAGCAAGGGATCTAGTGCCACTATACTATCGCAAATGGCGCAAGTTGAAGGCTCAATCGTCAAATGGGACGAAGCAGAAATTATTAAATCGGTACATTCACCGACATTGGCGAATTGCGCAGAAAAAATTGAAATATATAAAAGCAAATTGCATGATTCATGCATCAATTCTAGAGATTCTGAAGGGTTGCCTTCGGCCTGGAAATACTTTATCAAACGATTGGACAAATCTTAATTTATTGCGGCGATTTTAATATTTTTTCGCATAAAGTGCATTTCACTGAATTTCTATATAACGTTTTAATATTTAGTTAACCTATGCTTATTTTTTCGTATACATTTTTTGTTATTTGTAACAATAATTTTTATTTATTTTATTAGTCTGTATACATTTATATATATATTTCGCTCGTTATTTTATTTTATTTGTATTTAAATTTTTGTTCTATTTTATTTATATTCGAATGTTCTTAGCCTGACGATGGCCAACTGATTTGGCTGAAAACGTTAGCTTTACATTAAATTTTTTCTCAGCAAATTAAGGTGTTTTGTTTTTTTGATTTATATACTATTGCTGAGTGTGTGTACATCAATTATGCACTATTTAGTAAATAAAAATAGTAGTAAACATTTCATATTATTATGTTAATATATTTATACTAAGCTCATGTCGATATATTAGTAAATAATCTATTTTAAAATTGAAAATTTCAAATTTTCTGAATTTAAAAGTGTAACAAAATTTTAGATAACATAAATAAGATTTAAAATAATTCGTCCATAGATATGCACTTCAAATAATATTTAGAACAAATCTAAATAATATTTGTTTTATACGAAGTGTATCGAGCCTTTTTATCATTATACTTTTATTATTATTATAACGATCTTTATTCAGCGGCACAGAAACGGAACAAAATAAATAAATCGCTCGAAAGCGTTTTCATTGTTTAAATATACTACTACAGATCTAGATGAATTTCAGTACTTTTACGGATATTAAAATTCTATTCATTTACACAAATCATTCAAATCGTAACCTAAATGTTGTAAACAATTAAGGTTTAGAATAAATAATAACCCTTTACTATTTAGATTTAATCATTGTTTTATATAAGTTCAGTTTATAAAACTTTTCTTTATAAAAAATAATTAATTACAATCGATCAGTATGTTGTTTTTATAATGTAGTTTTTCCGTATAAATTTTAAAAAGTAAAATAAGAGGAAAAAATAACCTTATCAGTTTCACACTATTACGCACTGATAGTATTACAGTTTATTGCACCAACCCCTTGAAAGAGTAATTTTCCATTAAAAGATGTTCAAGTTGAAAGACACCAGCTTTTCTTTCTTTTTTTTTATTTTTATTAAATCAAAAATGGAAAATAGGTCAATCACTTCAATACTTTTATACATATGTTAATAATCATTTTATGAATATGTTACAATGTATAGAACTAAAATAATCAAGATATTAAAATACTTCTGAAATATTTTAGTGAATATTAATATTAAAATATTTATTCTATATTCATGAAGGGAAAAAAATCTTATATTAAGTTATTATACATTTTCTGCAATAAGTAACAACGAAAATAATTATTTTTAAAAAGCATCATTTTTATTACATGTCAAGATTGTTAATTATATTAAGAAATAAGAGAAATATTTATGTAAAAAATTTATGCTAAATATATTTTTTTCTGTTATAATTCAATTGCTACGAATTGGAAATTTTTTGCATTATGTAACTTTTATTAGTAATTTAATTTAATAAATTTTAAGTTAGTAATAATGTTCATTGCGCAGAGACTTTTGATTCTGACGATATCTATTCTAGACGTCAAGAATAACCTTGAACTAACTAAAAATATAATTAGTGGAGGTCAAGATATATTGAGGCACTTTTGGTGATGCATACCAGAGAAGCTGTTATAATGATGCATCTGTTGCTTTCTCTTGCATCTGTTTGAGGAAAATTGGATAAATACGTAAAGGTAATGTTGTAAAGACAATTATTGTTAAATATATATTATTTAAACACTTAAAAAAACTGAATTTATTGAATTGCACAATTTTATTACAAATTTTGAAAATATTAAATTAAAATTAATAATTCTCATTAAAATTAAATATTTATAAGATATTCACAAATGTTATTATTGTTTAAGTATAAGCAATAAGAAATTCCATATAAATTCAAATTTAAAATTATTTTAAGTTTTTATAATAATTACTTATATTTTATTAATTCCGCTTTTATTTTATAAAATAGGTCGAATTTAATTAGAGACTATGTATATTTGCTTAATCATATAATTCATATAATCTTCATTCAATTTATATGCACTAACTTAGTCATCTTTGAAGTTTTCTGAAAGAATTGGTTAAAATACAGCTAGTGTTGTTTTCACAAGTAAGTTCTATAATGCTTAAAATATTTTAATTATGATAGATTTCTTTAAAGCATATTATTTTTTGTAGATTTAAACTGCGATTTCAATTGATACCATTTTTATATTGTTCGATTATTTTTGTCATATGAAGAATATTTATTATTAATGCTAATTACAATAAAATTTTAATTAAAATACTCAAATTTTTGTTTATTTATTCTATTAAACTTTTTATTTTATATTTTACTATAAAATTCACAAAAAGAATATAAAGTTAAAACAAATCTGTACTTAATTTTAATCCAGATCTACAAGTACGGTAACCATTCGTCAAACTATCAAAGGTTTAATTTTTATCTTATGAATTATCAATTAGGAAATTAATTTTCTCAATTTCGACATTATTTCTCAAAAGTATATTCTTTACCCATGATAAAAATTCATATCAATAATCGTGTATAATGAAGTATAAGCAGATTAGCTGAATCGACAATCTAACAAGTAATTTTTATGTATTACACGCATTCATGATATATTTGAAAAGTGACCGGTTCAAATATTTTGGTTAGACTACCTGTAAATATTGTTTTGTACAAAAGAGATTGAAGTTATTTTATTAAATCTTGTACCAGAGCGATATAATCTTACTCCTATTTAGGTCAACGGTACAAAGACCTAATGGATGATTAGATAGTTGTCTGTTTGCCTTTATCTACTTCACTTCATTTATGACCCATATTTACTTTTTTCTTTAACATGAATCTTGTTTCTATATTTAAACTAATATATTTCTGAATGTCAGTAAAATAAATAAAATATATGTATTTTTAGGAAAATTATATAAAAAATTATAATGTTTATAGGTTTATTTGCACTTAAGCCATTTATATTATCCGCGTCGTTAAAATTTATTTAAAATATTTTATTAATGCCAACAATTTCAAGAGAAAATTGTTATTTTTATGATTATACCAAGTTTATATTTAACAAAAATAAAAAAATAAATACTATTATTAAACTTATGTTTAATTTTTTTTAAAATTAAAATTCAAAAATTATATGTTTATAGATAAATTTTTAATTTAAAAAATATATTTTTAACGAAAATACGTCATATCAACAGTTTATATTTAAAGCAATTATTGATGAATGGAAAAATAAAAATAAAAAAATAGAAAGTGAAAAAATTCATTACAAAATCAATGTTAAACAAAGTAAAAGCAATCTGAAACGTAGAAATTCGATTCAAATAATCAAAAGTTCAGTGTTCTGTCGATCAAAATATTTTAAGTGTTTAATTTTAAATATGTTGTAGAAATATCTATAGACATCTGTACATAATTGTGAATAATATTTAGCTAAAATTTCGAAATATAAATGCTGTTGTCAAGTAAACAACTGTAATGTAAGTTAAAGTACGAGGCTATTTTGTTAATGACATCATTACTGATATAGAGAGTTAGATATAAAGTTGCATTTTTCATCTATCAGATACCTAAGAAGATTTCGACTGTTTAATTCCCGAAAGTGAGTCTTGTTTCAAATTTTAAAATATATTTAATTAAAATAGCAAAAACGTGTTTAATTCTGATAACTACGAAAAGAAACAAATTTATAAAAAAAATAATTAATAATTTTTATTGATAAATTCTTAACAAAAAACAGGCAGCATAAAACTCATTTTAGTACACTTATTTATGAATAAAATAACGTTAAACGTTATTTTATTCATAAATAAGGATATTTTAACAGTAGACTTTACAATTAATTTGAATTTAAAAAATTAATAATATTTGAAACTAAAGATTTATAAAATTTAATTAAGTTATTCAAATATCGTAGAATTAAGTAAATCTAAAATTAAAATTAAGTAAAATCTAAATAATTCCTCAACGAATAGTAATCTAATTAGTTCATTGTAATATAAAATAAACAATTAAACGTTTACCTGCTTTATCTCAGTTTGATAAACGAAAATATCTTATGCTATATCTTATCAATTTATGATTTGTAATCAATTGACAACATCTTACATTTCAAAAGTAAAATAGGGCAATTTACAAATTGATAAAAGTGTGATTATTTATTTATTAATAATTTTAATTATACTATATGAGAATTATAAGTCTATGATAATTTAATAACAATAAATCTAATAATAATTAAAAAAGAAATAAAATTCGTATAAAATTCATTTATTAATTAAATAATTTGATGCAGTAGATCATATAAGAATTGAGAAAAACTGTAAAGTAATTGTTTATACAAAAACTTGTTTCAAGCTAAACTTCAGATTACAAATAGTAAAAGGTTATGAGTAGGATGGAAGGAATATGTAGGATTAAAATTAAGCGAATATGGATAAGTTCGTAGGATTTAACACTCTTAATTATTCAGTAAACAATTTTAATAAAAAAAAGAGCAAGTTTTAACATTTCTATATCAAACATTAGGAAGTAAATAAGATAAACAATAACTTTCTAAATCAGGAAGTTAAGCTACATTAATTTATACTAGAATTCCAAGAAAATTAACTATATTAAAGAAAAATTGTTTTTATAATTGTCTTTCAAAATTGTATTGCAATATGATTATGCATTAAATTTTTCTGCTAATCTGATAAGTTAATAAAAATATTTTGTAAAGAATAATTAAGGAATTAATAAGATTCTTTGATTAAAATTATTCTAATATTTAATTTAATTGTTATATATATGCTATCTTTATATATAAAAATCGATTTTAGATAACAATATAAAATATAACCCTACAGAACATTTAATAAAATATTTCTTATGTGACAGTCTATGTTTAAATAAGTATATAGCGTAGAAAATATTATATTTACAAAATTAGATAATTAACACGTTATAAGAAATTATAATTATTAAAAAATGATATAATGATATTTAATTATATATTAGAGAAAATTAATTTTAAAGATTTTTCGAAAATACGATCAAACTATCATCATATTCTATTCTTGTATGAAGTTATTTTAAATGGAAAATAAATTTGTGTGTCAAATCTGTTTGCTGTAATAAGACGATTTAAGTGTAATTATTTAATTGATCTCTTTACTTATAAAGTATTTTAAAGATAGGTATCATTCTATCATAAATAAATAAAATTATTTTTTTGTTATAGACTTCGATCATAAGATGAAGTCTGTAGCTGTGATCGGAGCCGGGGTGAGCGGATTGACGTCCATAAAATCGTGTTTAGAAGAAGGATTAGATGTAACCTGTTACGAAAAATCAGAAAATTATGGTGGATTATGGCGCTATAGAGACGAAGGAGTATCGGTGGCAAAAAACACTGTTATGAACACTAGCAAAGATATTGGTGCATTCAGCGATTTCCCTCCTCCTAAAGAGTTTCCTCAATATATGCCTCATCAGACTATGATAAAATATTTGGAAATGTACGCAGAAAAATTTCAACTAAATTCGAAAATTCGTCATAATCACGAGGTCTTAGAAATCAAAAAAGAAGAGGATTACGAAGAAACAGGAAGATGGAAATTGCGAGTAATGAATAAAAATACAAAAGAGATATTTGAGAAATCATTTGATGGCGTTATGATCTGTACGGGTCATCACGATTTTCCTCATATTCCACCGTTTCCTGGGTTGGAGAATTTTAAAGGACGTGTTGTCCATACAAGAAATTACAAATCTGCAGAAGGATGTGAAGATAAACCAGTTCTTATTATAGGTATAGGCAACAGCGGAGCAGATGCTGCGGTTGATATGAGTGAGACGGCGAAAATCGTGAGTTTATAATAAGAATCCATCATGATCTTTCTGAAATTAAATGTTTAACTTTAGACTTAGTTTAAAAATTAGTTATGATAGAAATTTAACCATCAAAGAAAACATCAAATTAAAAAAAAATCCTTTTATGCAATCGAAATTGACAGGCTATTATAAAATAGTTTTAAATATATGAGAATATAGCCTAACATTTGCATGTTTAGACATTTTTAGGAATATTGAACATTAATATATTGTTTTTAAGAATATATAACGTTATAATAGAAAATAATTTATATTTTTTAGTTTTGAAATTCTGGGATGCAATGCATTATTTTAACAAGTCATCGGGAGAATAATTGATTTCAGGAATAATTCTTACAATAAGTATTGTGCCAATAGGCCTGTTTTATGGGATTCACTGAATATCTTCCTCTAAATAATCACGGTATAGTCCATCTGTACGCCTATTAAAAATTTAATGCTTGACATATCATTTTAATATAATACCTAATAATTATTCAAATATGTTCAAGCTTATATTTATCAGTGTAAGAAATTGGATTGAGACATAATTTCTACTTATTATTTTTGTTATAAAGCATGACATTTTCTAAACGATACTTTGACTATGTCTTAAAATTCTTTAGAATTTTAGTTTCTCGTTATAATTTTTCAGATAATTAGCCCATGAAATGACGATTATTTTAAATTTCACACGTAACTACAATAATTTATATTTTGATAGATTTAATTAAACTGATATCTCGAGAATGTCACAGTTACAAATGTTATGATTAATTAATTTTCTAAGTATTATGATTTAAATTATAAAAATTATTTTCAGAACCGATTTTAATGACTTTTTTTCTTTAGGTTTACTTAAGTGCTCGAGGTTGCTTTTGGGTTATTCCAAGATTAACCAAAGATAATAAACCAGGAGATGCTGCATATAGACGACGTCCAATATTTCTTTTACAGTTCGCACTTCCATATTTTTTATTAAATTTTATTACTAAATACTTTATAATAAAAGATATCGATGATATTACTTATAACAAAAAGTCGGACGATTTAGTACTTAAATATATTCCCGTTGTCAATGATAAATTAACCGAGAACATTAGAAAAGGTAATGTTGTCCTGAAAAATAAAATAGATCATTTCACTTCTGATGGAGTCGTATTTGAAGGCGAGACAAACGTGACAAAAATTGATTTAGTTGTTTTAGCTACCGGCTATGACGTCAAATTACCCATGATCGATTCAAAGATTATAAGTACAGAAAATGAAACCTTGGAACTTTATAAATATATATTTCCTCCTAATTTACCACATTTTACTTTGGGATTGATTGGTTTCTTACAACCTTTCGGAGCAGTTTTCCCCATTTTTGAACTTCAAGCACGTTGGTTTGTCATGATGTTAATGAACAAAGTTTACAGGCCAAGCGTGGAAGAAATGATTAAAGATATAAAAAAAAGAAGAAATTTGATCCAACACGGCAGATGGAAGTCAATTAGAGCTGAATGGATTCATTATTTGGACGACATATCAGCTTCGGCAGGTGTTAGACCAGACTTTTTTAAGTTATTATTTACGGATCCAATTCTGTTTTGGAAGTGCTACTTAGGACCTTGTTTACCATATCAATTCCGATTGAAGGGGTACCATACTTGGAAACCAGCAAGAAGTCTTATTATTAACTATAATGATAATCCAACGTTAACAACCGATGAAAATTCTCATACAAAATTGAATATAATGAAAATTCTGACTTGTTTCCTAGTAATGTCTGTATTTTCATTATTAATTACCGTAATTTTTTAAAATTACCATTTTATAATTTTTATATAATTTTTATAAAGAAAAATATTTGAAATCAGTTTATTGTCAATTATTTTAAATATTTTTTGTAATAACCAATTATTATTGTTAATTCAACTACATAATTATTATAATTATTGTTATTTAAATGTATCCAATGCAATATATTTCGTATGATTGTAAAATTAATGTATATGCAGAATTGACCTAATGACATTACATGCCACTTAAATTATTGTAAATAAGTTACATTATAACATTTCAAATATTTGTTTTCATTTAATATATATTACAGAATAATTATAATTAATAATCATCAAATAAATTTTATTACATATTGATTACAATGTTTTATTGCTAAATATTAATACAAATTACATTGATATTATTATCATATAGATGATATTTATTTATTTTCTTATTATAGATTTCAATTAATTAGCATTAGCATTTAGTTACGAAGCACAAGCAATATATGCTCATTAAATGTTAAATATTACAAGTTTTAGAGCTCAAACTCAGAACAAGATATATGAAACACTTTCCTATTTTGATTCTTAGTTCCACAAATCATTTTTAATTGTTCATTGTTAATTGTTTTTGAATATTAAGTAATAATGTTTATTTTTTTGCTATTCAGTTTAGTTTAAACTCAGTTAAATAGTTAAAAATTTAGACTATTCTTTTATAATTTTCTATAATATCAAATTCATTAATTTGTTTATATGATTATTTTAAATATCTATATGTATTCAACTGTACATATTTTATATGAATGTATGTATGTTTAATACATCTATATAAGAATTGATTGAATAAGCAACATTATTATCATTAAAATTGCGAATATTCTTTAAAATATTTAATAATTTTAAAGTTTTCATAAAATTTACATTTTTTTTTCTTTTAATTTTTTTCCACTCTATTAAAATATATATAGTAATTTACATAAAAATACAATATAATTTTCATTAATTAAACAATTATTCAAATATTAAGTGCATATAGTGCATTTATTTATAGTACAGTTACATTTAAGCAAATTTAAATATTACATATTTTATGCTAAACTATTACTATAAGCATGTTATGAAGATAATAGATATTTATATCTAATTATTGAACAATCAATTTAGATATTTGGTTGCAAGATTTGAACGGCTGGAGTACATTTTTTACCAGAAATGCAACCAGGTACGTTTGCGTATGCACAGCAAAGTTGGATACCCGGTCCTTCTCCTTTGCAATCCTCGTGGCTTTTACATTGTTCTGAATAATCTTCTTTTGGGCAACCAAATCCAAGATTAAGATTGGATATTCTTGGAGGTGTTAACGGAGGGCAAGATCCTAAAATATTTAATTTACAGTATAATTATTTTAAAAAAACTAAATTTAAATAAAGTACGGTTAATTACCGGTATGATATATTCAGTATTTTATAACATGTATATTGGATTTAAAAATATTTTATAACTTAAAATAAATCCTTAATATATAATAAAATGCTTTGAATTCAAAGATTTTAAGTAATTTCTAAGAATGGCAAATAAAAGAATACATTAATACGAACATAACTTTATATTTTCCTACCTGGACCAGGGAAATATTCCCGATTACTTTCCTTTCGGAGGCAGAGATTCTGTGGTTGGAATGCATGTCTATATTGTAAAGGTACACAACATCGAACACTTGGCAATGGATCCATTTGTAAGAGGCCGCAACAATCTGTTTCTGCACATTGAGATGAACTGCTACATTTTTGCCATCCCGATGGACAAATAGGATCTAAAATTGGTCCGGGTTGACTTCTTGCCTAAATAATTAAAAACTTTTGTAATATTTTAAAAGTTTAAATTAATGTGCGATATTAATTTATTTTAATAACAGTTCATGTGAAACATCTTTTTCCTTTAGGCTATATCTTAACCTTATGCCTTTAATATGAAAGACTAATAAGCATTAAACATTTTTGTCTTACATATGTTCCCATATTACAATATCTTGAAACAGTTTAAAGCATTAAGACTGAAAAATTATATCTTCAAGTTTTTAATTTAATTTTTACATTTTTATTAAATTTAATGCCAAACAACACAAAAAAGTGCAGAAAAGTGAAACAAAAACGGAGCTAAAGGAAATTTTATAATTAAAATTTTGGATCTAACGATTAATTTAAATTTGTTCATTAAAAAACTTAAGTATTTTATACTTTGTTTTAATTTATATTTATATACTATATTTATATAATTACAAATATAAGGATGCTAAGATTAATTTGCACAATTTTGGCTATATTTATAATAAAATAAGATAAATTTACTCAAAAGTAAAACTTTTAATAATTTTATAATTATTTAAATATGTTATGGAATAAACCACAACTATACCCAGCAGAAGACATTTAAATATGTAATCCAACACCTTATTTTTCGCTGAGAGATTATTTTAATTAAAACAAACGTTTTCGATCCATTCATTGGATCATCCTCAGGCTAAATGGAACACTTCATAAATAGAACTACTCGTTTAAATATTCAAAAATACAAATAAACCGATAACATAAAAATAAATAATACTTGTAAATAATACAAATATTCAAAATAAATAACATAATATCATTACTAAATAATAATATCGTCTGCCTAACTATATAGAGCTTATTATTTCATACTAAATTTCCTGCGCTTTTTTTAAGCTTTTAACCGCAAACTTCCAAGCGGAAGGAAGACCCTCCGCATCTCTTGCGTTAATACATTTTTCTTCAAGTTTGCTTCTATAGATTTCTATCTTTTCAGCTGTTCTTGCCAATGCCGGCGAGTGTATCTGTTTCAGGATTTCGGCTTTATCCCAATGTATCAATGAACCTTCTGCCTGCGCCATCTGGGCCAAAACTGTCGCATTAGAACATTTTCTGATATCATATTTGTGTTCTTTGATCCTTAAACCTAGGTTCCTAGTTGTAACCCCTACATATTCTTTCTTAATTCCNCGAAAACGTTTGTTTTAATTAAAATAATCTCTCAGCGAAAAATAAGGTGTTGGATTACATATTTATATGTTATGGAATTATATAAATTTTATAAAATGCCCAGCAAAATATTAAGTTTTATATAATGATATTAAAAACTTTTATTTTTGAATTGATGCAAATTTTTTCATTGCAAATATTTGTTTTTTTTTTTTCAGTTTAACAAAAGATTTTTAATTAATAAAATTAACTTTTTACATATTGAAATTATTCTCATATGATTCTTGTCGCTGCAATAATAGATTTGATAATCATATATCCATAAAGTAAAACTAATTTTTTTTTTCAAAATCCTTTGTTAGTACTCAAATTCGAAAACCTTCAGTATATAAAATATTTTGCCTTATAAAATTTTTTAATTAATTAATTAATTTTTTTATAATTACATTTAAATCTATAACATAATGTTGGAAAATTTAACTTTTTAATTAGCAATTTCTCAAATATCTAAAAACGAGATTCCCGCATTCGTTTAAAAGAATAAAATCACTGTATACAATTTCTAATGGATATTTTAAACTTTTATTTATTATTAAATTAAAATTGCGCAAAAATCAATAGAAATATATCAAATTTCGCGTTACTATTTTTAGCAAAATTAAATTATAATCGTTTAAATAATGCTATTTTGATCTTTCTGACATAATGAGAATAATAACAAAATAATGCCCATTGGTAATATACTTGACTATTGTCAATAATTTAATACCGTATATTATTGAAAATTTTAAATTCTAATGATAATGTTTATCAAAAATTTAATACAATTAGTTGGGAACAATATACCAATTTTATGTACTGGGTATTGTTTTCATTTTATCTTTAAATAACATATTACACTATATAATCTAATATTTATTATAGACTATTGTAATATAGTTGACTCAGGGAAAGGCAAAAATTACGGTAAAATATATTTGCCTATATATTTCGAACTATTTAATCATTGACTTTAAAGAATATTCTCACTAAATTTTAATCCTTGTTGTAAAGATAAACAAAATGTTACTCTGCACTTGTATCATTTACGCTGTAGCATTGATTCACAATGACTTTGTGATCATTCTGTATTAATTAAATATTTTATTTAGACGTTTGGCCTTATTTAATATAACATACGGAAATTTGATATTCAACAAAATTAAGATTTATATCTAAACATATAAAAATTCTGGATACTTAATTACAAATAATAAGATACTATGAAAAATCCTTGAATTTTACCTCAGATTCCACATAAAAAGCCGAGAGACATGAAATTATGATGAGAAGCATTTTTTTTTTCTTCAGTTAATCTCATCTTCAGTGCCTTATATATGATTATAATAGATAAAAATCTGGAGAAGTCGGAAGACTATTTTTTTTAAGGAAGTAACGTTTCCTTTCTAATCGTTATCTTCAAATTGCAAGATTCCTCAATACATTTATGGTAAAAACTGTTTATTTAAATTATTTATAAAGCTAAATATTTTAAATATAATTTTATATTTTATAAAAATGTAACCATGGTTTAATATCCATCTATTTCCATATCCTAAAAACATTGCATACTAAATACATATCAATCCTTTCGCGTAAAACTCAAAATAATAATTGAGTCTCTTTAAATAATTGATAATTTTATTAATTGTTTACTGTTTATTCCATAAATTAAAAACTACGTTCAGAAATAAAGAATTGCCAAATGCAGTAACATTTATTTTCATTGAATGCATCTATAAAATGTGCGAAATAATTAATAAAATTACATGTAATATTTGTAATAGACTTAACTAACAAACTTGAAAACAATATCAAATTAATTTTAACATTAATCTCACAGGATATGCAACAGATATAGATAAATATATCCATATGCAATATAAATTTCTCATTAGAATAAACATAAGTATTTCCAATGAAGTAATGTTATGTTACTTTTAATTGAATCTAAATACTGTAATGTTTAATTGAATAAGTAAAAGTAGTTATTCTATATATTAATTGGTCGTTTATCACAATGCTGAGCTCATGAGGGTTTGGGTTAACCCTCCCATTTGTAAATCCAAATAGAAAAATGTTACTATGTTAATAAAATAGTACATTATATACAACATTTTATTAATTTTGTGTCTGTTTAATTCTTCCTTAGTCTACTATATTCTTTTACTCTATATACATATATTGTAAAAACTAATAAACTACTTTATGAAAAAAATAATGCTTTCTTTTTAAGCCCTACCCTTTTAAAAATTTTATATACGGGTATAGTTTGGCGTTAAATTTATTTACAAATTACGACTCGTTCAAAACATTAAAACTAAAATTATTAATTTTTTTATATTTTTAACTAATAATTTGAATTAATGGATGTAGAAGATAGTATTATTGAATAAATTTGATCGGATTCATTAGACATCATAGCAGATTTATGTCAGAGATGCAATGCCACTACACTGTTTTATCTAGCCTTAGAAAAATGCATTCGCGAAACAACTAAGAATGACGTGAATAAAATTATTCTTTTAAACATGCAGACGACATAAATCTAACCAGCAAAGATTCAAAAAACATTCATTATATGTTTAGAAACCAAAAAAATATCTTCGAAAAGAATTGGTCTTTAAATCCATCAGGATAAAAGTAAACAACTCAGAATCAAAAGAAATGATCCACATGAAGAACCTCATTTGTTATTAGGAAATGAAGAGTTTTGTGCTGACAATCTGAAATTTAAACCTGTTACTACATTTAAATAAGAACAAATATTAATCACGAAATCTGTACAGAAAATCGAGCATCCTATATTAAAGCCGGAAATGGAACATACTTTGCTTTACAACATCTACAATTTTAAATCTTTAAAATATTTTATAATAGAAAAAATATACAAACCTGTAATAAACCATCAATATTTTATGGTAAAATAAACCAGCAACGGGTTGCTCGACTTTCCCGGCAAGATTTAAAATTTTGGTGACGTCATATGTTATCATATTTTATTTAACAATTTTTTTTATACTTTTAAATATTATAAAATGGCAAAAATTTAATCTTGAGGATAGGGATGAGTTTTATAAATAATTTTAAGTGCTAATAACGACGTAAACTCGTCATTAAGTCCGACCCTATTGGAGATACACACGATGCCCATTATCTCCCCACCCCTAGATCTTTAACCACCAAAATTTAATAGCATCAATCTCCATAATAATTAAACCTCCCTGCAAAATTTGAAATATCTTTTCAACATTTTGAAAACAAATTAGTTGGAAAAATCTTTTGTTCCATTAGAGATGCTAAAAGACATAAAAAGAATTTATAGATAAAAAAATTATACTGTAATACCCTCTCAGTGATAACAAGTCTTCAAAGATTACGATGTTTAGGGTATATCGAGAAGATGAGAGAAGATCGTATAGATAAATAAGTCTGTATAACCATATTTCATTTGATAAAAGATAAGGGATGTCTTTAACGAAGATGAAAAACAATATAAAGAAAGATCTAAATAAATTAAACGTATAGTGTTGACCGAAAGAGTAAATGACAGGAATAAGGGGAGCAAATTTGTGTTTGCAACTGAGAACTTTAAAGTTAAAGAAGAAAACTAATTTGGAATATCATTTTAAAAATTATTTTCATGATCTTATTAACCACTTTCTAAAATATAAATATACATTTGTACATTTTTCAAATAAAATATATTACAGAACATGAGTACTGTCTTTTTAAGACTATTTTCTAAAATGTATTATCTTTATTTAGATATTAAATTCTGAAACAATTCTTTTGTTATACAATATAATAATGAATATTAAATATAAGAATACAATAAAAATAAATTAATTCAATAATACACGATTTATCATTTAGAAAATATGAAAGGTGAATGTATGTCATAATGCCCCACAAACGATTAGTTTATTTAAACAATTGCTATTATTACGGACTTTAAAACTTGTTGAATATTTCTTTCTTGTTTGTCTATAGTATCAGCATCACCGTATGTCTCTACTAACTTTTCAGCTTAACTTTTAAGTCAATCACCTTGTCCCAGTTACTGGGATTCGGTAACAGTATATCCATTGGAAAACGACACATCGCGATTTCCAGCCGATTTAGGTAGAAACTCTATCATAATTCATTGGTATCAGAGAAGGAAACACATTCGATCACAGCTTTTAAAAGGGAGAAGATAAAACGTTAAACCAGGGGTTCCCACCTAGTCCTATAATCCCTCAAAAAAATCAATTGACTTATCTGAGTATCGATAAATTGCTAGGTGTCATTTTGGTATATAATAAAAATTATATCAATTACTATTATTATCTTAAATTATAGTAAATACAATGCGTAATTACGTATTTTGCTTTATACTTAATGAAAAAATATTAATTCATTAATTCCTATTTGTAATTTACAATATTCTTATTTAGTATTAGCATAGAAAGAAATTGACGAATCAAATGTAATTTTGGAATTGATCGACGTGTCAAAAAACAATTACAAATAGCTAGTTTAAACGAATAAAATATGAGAAGAAGCTATCTTTAATTCGAAATGTATATGCTAGTGCCATCTATTGAACATTTCTTTACATAGAGAATTTAAAATAATTAATCAGAAATGATACCGTTTTACTAATGAAATGTAATCAAAATTTCAATTTTATGAATGAATTATTTTTAATTATGAACAGTATTTAGGTTTTTAATAATACTATAATATTTCGTTTACATTAATACAGTAATTATTTAATTATGTTAATATTAATAAACAAAATATTTGATATTAATCCAATTTTGTAACTCCTCAAAATTTCTACTTATTTTAAATTCTTATAAAATCAAAACATAATTCAATTGCTTTTTTTCACAAAAGAACATACAGATAACGCTTTTAAATTTATTCTTATGATGCTTAGAAACATAACAACAAAGATTAAGATATTAGATTATTTCGTACTTCTAACCCTTCTACCGGTATTATATTAGGCCTATATTATAGTATTTGATTTATACGTATTTGATTTTTATGTTATCTTACGTAAGGGTTTAAAACACCACGTTCCTAATGCCACGCATTTTACACATTTTTAAAATTGTGTACAGTACAGGAATAAATAATTTTAAAAACGTATTAAATTGGTCACTCGGTCTGATAAACCCTTACGTAATATAACCTTCGTAGATATGTATATCAAATACTATCAATATACAGTGGTACCTCAGGATACGAACGCCCAAGCATACGAAATTTTCAGGATACGACATGAAATTCGAACATATTTTTGCTCCNACCATATAAAGAGTTTGGTTTTTAAGCCTACCATTGTCAGGTTTATTAGGAAACTCAAACGGTACGAAATGGCACAATTTTATAGGTCAAGAAGACACCAATTGAAAATGTTGTATCCTAAATTTTTTACGATATCGTATTTTTCTCTAATGTTAACAGTAAAAAATTGTACCGTTCATAACGAATATCAAATGATCCTCTGCCAACCAATTGAATTTCGCGAGAAACGGATCAAATATTTAAACTTGGCAAACTCGGAAACCACTTAAAACATTTTATGCTTGCAGGTAATCGTGTTATGTAATTTTTCTATTCGAATGCCACCATACCCTGGTCCGATAGAAAGAAGGAACTATTGTGAAAGGGGGTTGAATTAATTTGACCGAAAATAGTCGTTGACCTCCTCCCGGGAGAGAGGACAGTCAACGACTACTAATTAATACTGGTCTACTATTAATGTTTGAAAGTGATCCGTATTGGATAGGTTGTGATGACTTCATAGATGATCGCAGTTGCTATCCTTAACGTCCGAAAGTCTTCACATAAAACTTGTTTAAATAAAAAAAAATCTTGTAAAAATGCTAGAATAATTGCATAATGTAATATTTAAATTTTTGTAATATTTGTTTAATACTATCAATTTAGCTACAGTCTATATTAAAGTAAACTCCTCTACAATGCCGAATTCATATAACATGACCAAAAAAATTACCACTAGTACTCATACAAAATTCTAGTTTTGTTGTCTATAAGTATGCGTTTGCTTCTTAAACTTCTAAGCCTAGGTTTAATCTTGCGTAAAATCGTCTGATAATGCATGTTCGTTAACGTGATTTTCTATAATGCGGAACGTATCCTCCGAGATGTATGGAACTACGCTGCATAGGCTATACATACGAATTTTAGTTGTAATTAATAACGTAGTACACATTTATAAGTGGAAATAAGATGCGAGATGTTTAAAATTAAATTTTATCGAGGTAAGAGTATTTTTATAATAGCACGCATAGTATGCTAATAAGGTTTATGGTTAATTTTTATATAAATACCAGTTATAAATAAAACTTTATCTCACCACATACTGCAGTTCTTTTCGTAGAAGTATAGTAAATATGGCTCCTTGAATACCTACTCAGTAGAGTTAACAACATTCAGGAAAGGAAACTGGTGCAAGGTTTGCAGAAAAATGCTATAAAGTATTAGTTACCTTAATTATTTTCATACTAGCAGACCCCACCAAGCGTTGTTGTGGCTCAAAATGTATCTATTATAAATGTATAACACTTCCCCCGTGGGGGGGGAATTTTTCGAAAAAGTTCTTCTTAGTGTACATTCTCTTGACATACCCTATTAAAACGCAATCAAAAACGCAAAAACTCGCATCTAAAATAGTATAATAGAAGCCACGTTCTTCACGGTAAGCCTTAATCCTGTCCCTCTTCCCCGCGGGGGGAATATCGAAAAATCCCTTCTTAGTGTAAATTCTGTTGACGTACCCAATTAAAACGCAATCAAAAACGCAAAAAACCGCATCTAAAATAGTATAAATAGAAGCAGAGTTCTTTACAGTAAGCCTTAATCCTAACCATCTCCCTTCACTGGAGGGAATTTCGACACGTATATTATATAAAAACACGTGCATATGCGAATGCAGCGTTGTGTCAAAATTTCAAAGGAATCGGTAGGAACAAACGAACACTACATTTTTATTTATATAGATAGATAGAACATGATCTGCTTTAATTCACCCTCACAAGAAAAGCATAATGCCTCACAGAAAAGCAAACTTAGGGCGTCGTACTCGTAGCGCCATCTGTTAGACATAAAAGCCTTAACCTAGATTATATATTTTAATTTATATGAATGTTTAACGGAATAATATACAGCCTATNTACATTTCTATTTATATAGATAGATAGCTGATCTGCTTTAGTTCATTTTCACAGAAAAGCATAATGCCTCACAGAAAAGCAAACTTAGGGCGTCGTACTCGTAGCGCCATCTGTTGACATAAAAGCCTTAACCTAGGTTATATCTTTTAATTTATATGAATGTTTAACGGAATAATATACAGCCTATGTCTATCCTGAAGTTCCATTCTAAATATTGGTGAAATAATTTTTCAAATCCGATGAGTAGTTTCGGAGATTACCCGTACAGTACATCCAAACTTACTTATTTACAAACATTACCTCTTTATAGTATTAGTATAGATTATGAAACAGAACAAATCATTATGTGAAAATTTAATAAATAACACAGAAAAAACATTTCAAAAATTTTACTATTTACTATAAAATTCTATTTAAATAGTAAATTTTATCTGCAATATTGATATTATTGTGGAGAATTTTCGATAAAATTCTGTAATTTGGAAAAATTTTGCAGTTACTTTGGAGAAAATTGACTCTATTTATCTGGCAATTTTTGCTGAAGAGCCGCTGTTTTTATGCTTGGCGTGATATTATAGTTATTTGTAGTATACATACATTTCATTTTTTATCAACGAGATGTTTGCAGATAGTATATGAGGACAGTATTCGCTCATCTCTACTTATAATAAATTTTTCACAATTTTCACATTATGCATAAGGTCGGCTTTATTGTATATAAATTACGAAGAAAATCTCGTGATGCTACATCAATTTTTTTTTAATTTAAAACAATTCATTCTGATTCCTAATTGATACCTGAACGTTGAGCAAGCACTTCGTAATTGGAAACATATCTCATGTGATTCCAGTTATTGCTGTGAAAGATGAACAGTTTATGAGGATATAGAACAAAATGATCGAAATAAAGTGCCAATCTAGAGAATTAGGAAAGAGATAGGATGAGGTAGACTAATAAATTACTTAAGAAAACAATTCATCAGAGTTACTTATTTGACGGGCTGTAATAAGCGCAGATGGCCGAAAATTTTCCCATTTAAATTGGAAAGAGCAAGCTAAAATTACATATTTATGAAATATAAACAAGTCATACAGTATTTCAATTTAAAAAATAAAGCTGTTATTATTATCTTTACGACTGACTTTTATGTTTCGTCATATTTCTTGAATTGTTCAAAATACATTTTATTGTTCTATTTGTGAAAAATTTTCTAAAACGGATTTAAAAACCTGATGGCCTATGGGAGTAGACTGAAAACGAAAACGTTTGTTAATTAATAAAAGATTCTCTCGGCAAGTTTATAGTAGATTTTAACAATTAAATAAACAAATAAAATATTCTCTCTCCTGATCCCAAAAGTCGTTATGCAAATAGATAATTTTCATTTATATACGAAGTTAAAATAAATAGAATTTAATTTAAAGTGATGCAGATTATTAAAAAATATAAAACAAAATTAATATAAAATTTCTGAATTTCTTGAAAATTTTTATATTAATCTCTTCTGATGATATCATGATTTTAAATATTAAATACCAAAATACATCTAACAATAACTCATTATTACGTTTCTTATAATTGATTAGAATAATTTACAAAATAAATTTTAGCTTTGTAAAACTTCATGATCTAATATGGAACAATACAGTGATGACATGGATGAAGACAAAACTAATGAAAGTTTAAATGCTTATTCAGATTTGTCTCCTCTTCATATCGCTTGCTGGAAGGGAAAAGAATCAAAATTAAAAATATATTTGAAAAAATATAAAGATGTAAATGTCACAGATAAAGATAAAAGAACACCTCTTCATCTCGCATGTGTTCAAGGATTTTCAGGAGGTGTTAAAAAACTTATTGAGAATAATGCTAATGTCAATATCAGAGATATACAAGGCCACACTCCCATATTCAAGGCAGTAGAAGCAGGACATATTAACATCGTCAAAATGTTGGTAGAAGCTGGATCAGATTTGGTAATAAGAGATTATATTGGAGATACAGTTTTGCATAAGGCCATAAAATATAAATTTACCAACATCGCATCCATATTGATTAATAACAGCGTTTATTTAGATGTAGTCAACGATGAAAATCAGACTCCGTTACATTGCGCTGCTTCGATGGGCTTGACAGAAACGGTCAAAGCATTAGTTGATCGCGGTGCTGCAACTGATGTTCTTGATGAAAAAAATAAAACACCTTTTATAATCGCTTGTGAAAAAGGTTATAGAGATATTATAAATATTTTACGACGAAATACAGAACTCCACAGCAGTGAAAATCAAATTGTATATCTAAAGAAACGTCCGAAAGCTGAGGAAAATTACGAAAAAGAATATGAGAGAAATCAGAAAAATGAAGAGTATACAAACTTATTTAGTAAGAATTTAGTTAATTTAAAAAACAAACCGAATATTAATAATAATAATATGAACTATTCGTCTTACGAATCGAAGCATCAGAATATTATGAAATCATATTCTATTCCTCGTAACGATCTAAACACATTAAAACGTGAATATGATTATGATTTGAATAGTTCAGTCTCTGAAGAAATTGCAAAGAATAATACAAAACGAGATACTGTAGATAAAGTGTCCAATGTCATGAGTGGTTTAATGAATTTTGCAAATCAATTGGAAGAAGTAAAATCAATTTTAGAACGTAAGTGTTTATTAGAAGGACAATATAGAAACAAAATCCAAGTTCTGCAATCAAATCTTTTAAAGATTCAAGAAGAAAAAGAAGAACTTGGAATATACGAACGCGATGTTAAGGGTCAAGTGACTAGTTTAGAAAATGACTTAAATAGCTCTCTATCATTATTACATTATTTGCAAACTGAAGTCGATAAATTGAAAAACAGACTGAAACACGAAAGGGATGCTTATGAGAAACTAAAGCATGATTCAGATAAATTAAAACAGAAGGAAGACGAATGTTGCCAAATATTGAAATCTTTAGAAATTCAAATAGAGGAAGCAAAATCTCAAAAGAAAGCTGCAGAAATTGAAAATGCTTCTCTGAATAATGAGATTAATCTTCTTAAAGCTGAGGCAGAAAATAAACAAGAGGAGCTGAACGATTGGCAAAGAAAATTTACTGAGATTAATAACGAAAAGCATAGTTTGGAAATGAGAGTAGATATTCTCAAAAAGGATTTAAACTTAAAACAAAAATCTTTAGACAGTTGTATTCATTCAAATGAGCAAAAGTTACAAGCATTACAGGCAGAAAAAGAATCAATTGAAAAGAAATTAGTTTTAGAAACACGCAAAAGAACAATATCCGAAAAGAAACTCTCAGTAATCGAGCAAGAATTACAAGATTTAAAAACAAATTATGGTTCAGCAAAGAAGGAATTAAATCAGTTACAACAATGTTTAGAAGAACAATCGAGTTCTCATAGCAATTCAGAAAAAATACTTCGAACACAAGTTGAAAATCTCACAGCTGATAATATGGCTTTGTGTAGTAGAGTAAACGAGTTAAGAGAGGTACTCAAGCATGCCGAAACCGAATTTCAAAAGGAGCAGATAGAAAGTAATCAGATCATTTCTAATCTGCAAAATGAATTGAAACAATACGATCAATATTTTGATCGTACCAAATCAAATAATTCCATACAATCATCTAAAACCTATAGTATACATCGTGAAAAAGTTGTTCCTAATAAGGCTTATCCTAAATAATCGAAAAAAAAATAATATTAACATAATTTCAGTTAATTATTGGAAATTAAAATTAGTTTAAAACCATCAATAGGAGCAAAATATGCGTTAAATAAATATTTAAATTAAAAATGAATTAATTTAAAACATTTCATTTATTAATATTGTATCAATAAACATAAATCTGTTGTAATACATTTAATTTAATTTGAGGCCCACTAGTGACCAAACGGTTCCGTTCCCTAAACACTGGGAGTTTGGTCGTGGGTTTGCGACTCGCCAGGGCCCTTAGACTCGAGTTTTCGTGTTACAACTCCCAGCGTGTTGAAGGTGTCACGTGGTACCATCTCACACTCTGACGTCAAATCGGTAGTCTCTAGTTATAACTTACGTGCTTTCCCATCTCACCACGTGAATTGCTACGTTGTGCTTTCCGGATTTTCTCCACGTCTGTAACGCCTGAATAGGGGCTAGTTACCCCTAAAAAAGACCTCTAAGAAGGCACTCCCTACGCAGATCGCCCAAGTGTTGCGTTACCATAACTTAATAAAAACAATTTTAAAAGAATATATTCTATTTCTTGTTAGGCTATACATACAAATGAGTTCAAATCCTTCTGTCCTTTCATACGCTTGCGGAGGCATTAACAAATCTAGGGAGGAACCGACCTTTTATTTTAAGCTACTTGTCCGCCATCAAATGTAAAAAAGTTAAAAAAGTCCTCCACTGGTAGCAAACACAATTATAAAATTAATAATTACATTAAAAATTGCCAGGACGAATTCACATTTAGAAAAAAGTATATATTTCTTGTTAGCTATACATACAAATTTTTTCTAAATGTAAATTCGTCCTGGCAATTTTTAATGTAATTAATAAAAACAAAACAATAATTTAATTTGAATATGATTAATGTACACTAGTTTCTAAAATTAAGTTAACAAACACAAATTATAGTACATTTGGAAAAATACTTTGTGAATCGGGACGAAATTTGGCCACAGATATCGCATGCTATGAAGAATCAATTAATCATACAAAATGAAAAAAAAAATTACTTTCGGAGATATGCACATTTCTACGAGAATACCCAAAGCATGAAATAATAGATCCCTAGAAAGAAGAGGTTAATAGGGAGTGTGATAACTCCATCAGTCTCACAGCATTCACAACGAACCGTCAAGGTCCATCAGTACAGATCCGGCCCTACCATAGGGCGAACGAACAGCCGCTCCAGGCGCTAAGTCCTAGGGGGCGCCTCAGTGGTAAAGAAAATTAAAGGGTATAAATTAAGGGCAACCAGGGGGCGCCATAATTTATACCCTTGTTGGATTAACTACCTTACTGGTAGTTAATCCAAAAGTGCCACAGTAGCGAGTTTTTGTTACTTTTTTAATGGAAATCTTTTCCTCATATCCTGAAATGTTGCCATAGCAGAACATTTGGTTGCGTTTAGCCTGCTAAATATCTCTCTAGACAACGTTGGATAGCAGTATTTTAATTACAGTTAGCTTTTATATTTTAAGTAGAGTGAAATCTTTTAAACAGATAGAAATCTAAAACTCTAATAAAAATCCAAAACGAGTTAGATTTAGTTAACTTTCCAGAAAAAATCATTTAAAATTACGTGTTGCGCTATTTGTTATGAGATTTTATTTTAAAAACCTTTTATATTATACTACCAAATAAGTATTGGTAGTACGAAAATTTTCTGTTGTTTATTTATGTATTTTCAGTTAAATTCGTTATAATTAAATTCAAATTAATAATTTTATAAAAACAATCAATTGTAAAAGCAAAATCTCTAATCTCAATGCTTTGTAAATGTTTTAAAATGTCAGAAAACCTGTATCAATAAGTGATAAAACATGTCAACTAGTAAAAAAGAGTAAAAAAGATCAGGCAAAATTAGTAATAAACAAGTAAAACGGCAAAATGTATTTGGGACAAGACTATGGTCTCGGAGACGGAATCACTTTGATGCTCAAGACAGGTCTCGTTCTCATTTTCCTATCTTCTTCGATATCGCTTCTTTTGGGCGCGATCGTTCAAACTTTACCGGCCATGATCATGAGATAGTCCACGATGCATCTTCGATGAAATTAACTTATCTAATTTCAAAATTTCTCTCCGTTGCGTGTCGGCCCGGGTTGAATTTTTGTCGATGCATAACGAAAAGTTCCCGTTTTTGAAAAAAATAATCGTGCCTATTGTATCGTCCGAAATTATTTTTTTATTTTGTACAAACAATATACAGTTTAACCCGATTATAATGTCAGCGAATGTAACGACAACCCTAATATAATGTCAAATTTTTATCGGTCTTACGATTTTACTATACTAGATAATGTTAAAAAAAAAAAAAGCCCACTTGTAACGACATAAACCGTTTTAACGTCATATTTGAAGCATTCCCAAATTTACAAAATTTGATTACAAATTTTATTTAACCTAGAAGAAACTACGTGTTCAGTCCTAAGGTCAGAGTTTACTTCTTAGAATGACCGTGGGTGGTACTCTCCCCAGTGGCGTAGTGTAGTGGGGCGGCAGGGGCGGCCCGCCCCGGGCGGCACTTTTTAGGAACGGCAAAATTTCACAATAAATAATAATAATATCTTGTAAAAACTTGAATCATTCCATCACATATTTTCGTCGCACCTACGATTCGGACCGATTAAAATGAGCACGGAATAGTGTTACCATCGGGACAGTCCGGGATATATCGTGCACAACCTGTCGACGTTTTTTTGTTTTTTTTTTTTTTTTGCTTGTACGGATCATTCGTATTCATATACACCTCCAATATCCCATAGAGTTAAGTCATCTAGGTTACTTACGTTAACCCTACCCAAGTCTCCCTAGTCGATAAATGTAACTGATTTAGAACCGGCATGCACTGCACATTATTCTTCGCATTGCAAAATGACATATGCATGCGTCAGGAACTTCTGTTCGAACAAACTTCACCTGCCGCGGCAGGTGAGGTTTAAAATCGTTGACCCGGACGGCATGCCTTCCGATTTTAAAAAGGTCACAATACTAGCACGGAATTTTTCATTACTTATTCTGTGACGAAACAGAATTTTAGTCTTTTAAATTGAGATACCTAAATAAGGGGATGGCGAAATTTTCCTTTGCCCCGGACGGCTGACCCCGCGCTACGCTACTGACTCTCCACTACCTGACTTCGGTGAGGTGAGGTAGCTGTTTTGTCTGTTTGTAGAAGAGGGTCGCCATTTTGGATTTTATTTTGACTCGATTTTCGGTCCCCTGACTACCTACGAGTCTGGATTTTTTTATACGCAAGTGATTTGGGCAGTTAATACTCTGTGCAAAATATCAACTCTCGACATGTACTCCTTCATACCTCTATGCTGGTAAGAACGAGTGGCAGTACAATTTTATAAACAAGACATAGTTTTGTCAATATAAAATTTATAGTTTTAGAATAAATAACAATTAAATAATACTAAATAAAACAAAATTAAGTACTTGTTATTTCAAAAAATTTAGTTAAAAAAGAAAAGGATAACAAATAACTAATTAATTAATTTCTAATAAATTTAAAATTATATTGATATTCTTCTATAATATCCGCATTTTTTTTGTTATATTTTAATCCTCAGACATAAACAGCATTAAAAGGGAATTTTGTTTATTTCGTTTTTATTCATTGGGCTGCAATTTGAAAAATTTGTACACCTATNTTAATTCTTTGTATGGAAATTCTGTAATCAATAATATCGAAGACTTCATGTTATCATATTCATATTATATAATATGAATATGATAACATGTTTTATATAACAGTTATTAATGTTATGAAGGTAGTATATGAAGTTATTATTAAGATTTCATAGAAATTAAGTTTATGGATTTATAAGAATTTTTAACCCGAAATACCATTAATATAGAATTTTCTTTCATTTGAACAAAACTGTCTTCTTTAGTATTTTTCTATAATGAACAAAAAATACATTATTTTGTTTACTGTAAATTTATAAATATACTTTAAAATAAATTGAAAATTATATGTATTCATTTAATTTAAATTAATAAATAAGTTGCATGTATAATCATTTATAAAATGTATTTTAGTGCATAAGTAGCACTAAAAATACATTTTATGGTAGAGGAAATCAAATAGAATTCGCAATATACAACAGTGGTGGTGCTGACCAGTAAGAAGAACACATGCATATATGATAATCCGAATATTTGAAAAAAATCTCTCTTATGGAGAAAGAGAAAAAATATAAATAAAAATTTATGTCCTGACCGTCATGTGCTTTTATTTTAATAATGTATTTTATATAAATTTTATTTAAACAAATTTCACTAAGAAATAGAATCGTAACTGAATAATTTATATTAATTCATAATATATATTTTTTTATATTAATATTTTACTTATTACAATGACGTCTGCGGAATTTTTTGCATTGTAGAATTTGGTTTGTCGCATAGTGAGATTTTGATAAGGAGCTCGATGAAAATATCAATAGGATAATTGAAAGAGATTCTCATAGATGTCGCCACTGTAAACGGAGATTAGGTTTTTCCAGCTGTATTACGGAGGAAGAGGAAAGCCCATCGCTGTTTGCTCCGCGGATTGAAAGCTTGCTCCATCACCGCATCTTATGGCGGTGCCGAAGGAGGTTTTGTCGAGTAAAATGGACATTAAGCTAACAGCGGGCGATGCGTCGTAGTGTTTAAGAAAAACTTAAACCGGGACTAAGCCATACGTCATCTGAATGTGAAAAATCAGCGTTCGACGTTTCTGTGCTGAAGTCGGCAAGTTGCTAATTGGATACAGCTGGCCATACCAGCAGTGGCGGGCCTATTTCGGAGGTGGAACAATATGGCTACTGGCACTAGTAGGCCTAATATGGGTTGCAGATCTAGTGACCACTCCAGCCCGACAACCGAAGTCCAACCGGATTATGGACAAGGTCACGGACATTATTTCACAAAAAAAATTTTTCATAAGCCGACTTATTGTCACCATTGTACAGATATGCTTTGGGGACTCATAGGTCAAGGATATATATGTGAAGGTAAGTTAATGTTTTATGCAGGCCGACTATACCGACGTTCGGCTATTTTTTGTAATATACGATAATATTGTTACGTTTCTCTTTCCGTTCTTATCCCTTTACTCTCCGAAGATCATTTGCATTAATAATTTTTTATCCGTCGATGTTTTGGAGTGATGTCTTTGCTTTCTCATAATCACATCTTTCTTAAATTGCCTCTTTACTATTTTCCTTTCCAATTTTGCCATTATCTTTACCGCTGGATTTAAAACGTATGAGAGTGTAATTAAAAAAGTTACTTTAGGAAGCCATATCTCTTCTTAATTATTTAATCTCCTCTTAATCAGCCAGCGATTTTCAATCAATAGAAGCGGTGTTCGAATCTCTGACGTCACAACTACTTGAACATTTTGCTAGCTCTATACGTCATTGACTCAGTTACGAATTAAGATTTTACTAATATTATAGATCCTGACGTCACAATTGTGATTAAAAACATCATCCGTTCGTTTCCCGATACTCCGAAAGGAATTTTATATTTATTTATTTATATATTTTTAAAATAATTATTTATTGATTATAATAAAACAANTTTAAAATTATATTGATATTCTTCTATAATATCCGCATTTTTTTTGTTATATTTTAATCCTCAGACATAAACAGCATTAAAAGGGAATTTTGTTTATTTCGTTTTTATTCATTGGGCTGCAATTTGAAAAAATTGTACACCTATAAATTCCAACTTTCGTCCAACTGTCTGTCTGTCTTACCATAATCTCGAGAACAGTGTTAGATAAATGAAATTCAATACGAGATATGGAAACCTCAGGGACAGGAAGACCCGATTAATTTTATATTGACTTCTGATGCAAACCAGAAGTCACGTGATTTCAATTGAAAAATTTCCCTCGAAAGGTGTTAGATAGAATTTAAGTTATCTACTGTATTTTATGAGAATAAATAGATGATAAGCTGCATTATTAAAAAGTTTAAAATAAGCAAAACACTTATAAGAAACATATAACACATTGTCTTCAACAGATTTAAATAATTTTTGTCGCGAAAATCTTCAGTATGCTGTAGACTCCTGTAGAGAATAGCAAAGGGTTAAACATGAAAGTAATAAATATAGTACATAAATAAAAAATAATATGAACAGAGTTTTATAAAGATTTTATATATGTAATTTTTGTACAGATGTACAGTAGTTTTATTATATTTTATATTTTTCTTCAAATTAAAACTCCAAACATTTACCATGTTCTTTTCTTATAATTAAAATTTTTGCGTAACACATTACTACAATATACTAAACTTATATGAAAACATATTTAAAACTACAAAACTTTTAAATATATATTAGATAAATTAAAAAATTTCACTGTTTAAAGTATTGCCAACTTGTTACTATTCTGGCTGTTATACAGAGGGAAAGTATGGCAATCCGGCAAAAAATGACCCACAGAATTTTACATTTTTGGACTTAAAACATCTTAAAACGTCGAGAAATGTAAAAAAAAAATCGGGAATAATTTCCGTATGTATGGATGTTATGTGTGGGGGGCACGATTTTGTTCACCCTGTTTGAAGCTTAATAACTTCTGTACTTTTTGTCGAAAATGTCTGAAATTTTGCATGAAGGTTTATTTATTGCTATTATTGGGGATTGATGCTATTAAATTTTGGTGGTTAAAGGTTCAGGGGTGGGGCGATAAGGAGGTCGTGAGTATCTCCAGTAGGGTCGGACTTAATGAAGATTTTACTCGTTATTAGCATTTACAATTATTTATAAAACTCACCCTACCCTCAAAATTAAGTTTTTTGCCATTTTATAATACTGTAGTTAAAAATATTAAAAGTTTTAAAAATAAAATATGATAACAGATGGCGCCACCAAAATTTTAAATGTTGCCGGGAAAGTTGAGCAACCCATTGCTGGTTTATTTCATTAATAGTTAAAAAATTAAAATTTTAATAGAAAATAAACTGTATATCTTGTCAAATGACATCAGAAGCACGAATACCATATTGCTACAATACAAAGTGCTACAATAGTCTTCAAAAAACAAAACGGCGAGAACTTTGTTGGTGCCAGTACAATTATTTCAATAAATTTTATAAAATAACGAGCAATTATTTATTGTGACATCGTGACAATACCAGACTGTAACTTTTAATCATATTTTAAATTAATTTCATTTAAAATATATGCTCTTCACCTCAAATTAGTAGTGGCTTGCCCCTGTACGTCATACTTACCTTAAGTTATAAAAAATTTACCAGCTTAATTTTATTGTCACGATATCTAAATATAGTACAGTAAGACACCGCTTAACGCGGGGGATGCGTTACTAGATGACAAAGCGCTAAACGAAACAGTGTTAAACGAGGTCATTTTAACATAGAGTAAATAGGGAAAGAGAGAACACGCGACCAAAAATAAACAAACAGTGCCGTAACTAGCCATTCCTGTGCCCTGTGCAAGAATTTGAATTTAGGCCCCTTGATTAATTAGTTTTGGAAAAATAAAACAAATACATGCATTTTGGGCCCCCTTCCAAGTGGACCCTGTGTGGGTCAACTGTTGCACCTGCCTAGTTACAGCACTGTAAACAAATTTTACTTTAATTTTAAGTTATTTTTATATGAATTTGCATAATTATATATGTTAAATAACACATAAACATATGCACACAGAAATTTGAAGTTCAGTTTTTGTGATGAATGTCCTGGCTCTTCTGAAACTCCTGTTTTTTTTTTTTTTTTTTTTTTTTTTTTTTTTTTTTTTTTTTTTTTTTTTTTTTTTTTTTTTTTTTTTTTTTTTTTTTTTTTTTTTTTTTTTTTTTTTTTTTTTTTTTTTTTTTTTTTTTTTTTTTTTTTTTTTTTTTTTTTTTTTTTTTTTTTTTTTTTTTTTTTTTTTTTTTTTTTTTTTTTTTTTTTTTTTTTTTTTTTTTTTTTTTTTTTTTTTTTTTTTTTTTTTTTTTTTTTTTTTTTTTTTTTTTTTTTTTTTTTTTTTTTTTTTTTTTTTTTTTTTTTTTTTTTTTTTTTTTTTTTTTTTTTTTTTTTTTTTTTTTTTTTTTTTTTTTTTTTTTTTTTTTTTTTTTTTTTTTTTTTTTTTTTTTTTTTTTTTTTTTTTTTTTTTTTTTTTTTTTTTTTTTTTTTTTTTTTTTTTTTTTTTTTTTTTTTTTTTTTTTTTTTTTTTTTTTTTTTTTTTTTTTTTTTTTTTTTTTTTTTTTTTTTTTTTTTTTTTTTTTTTTTTTTTTTTTTTTTTTTTTTTTTTTTTTTTTTTTTTTTTTTTTTTTTTTTTTTTTTTTTTTTTTTTTTTTTTTTTTTTTTTTTTTTTTTTTTTTTTTTTTTTTTTTTTTTTTTTTTTTTTTTTTTTTTTTTTTTTTTTTTTTTTTTTTTTTTTTTTTTTTTTTTTTTTTTTTTTTTTTTTTTTTTTTTTTTTTTTTTTTTTTTTTTTTTTTTTTTTTTTTTTTTTTTTTTTTTTTTTTTTTTTTTTTTTTTTTTTTTTTTTTTTTTTTTTTTTTTTTTTTTTTTTTTTTTTTTTTTTTTTTTTTTTTTTTTTTTTTTTTTTTTTTTTTTTTTTTTTTTTTTTTTTTTTTTTTTTTTTTTTTTTTTTTTTTTTTTTTTTTTTTTTTTTTTTTTTTTTTTTTTTTTTTTTTTTTTTTTTTTTTTTTTTTTTTTTTTTTTTTTTTTTTTTTTTTTTTTTTTTTTTTTTTTTTTTTTTTTTTTTTTTTTTTTTTTTTTTTTTTTTTTTTTTTTTTTTTTTTTTTTTTTTTTTTTTTTTTTTTTTTTTTTTTTTTTTTTTTTTTTTTTTTTTTTTTTTTTTTTTTTTTTTTTTTTTTTTTTTTTTTTTTTTTTTTTTTTTTTTTTTTTTTTTTTTTTTTTTTTTTTTTTTTTTTTTTTTTTTTTTTTTTTTTTTTTTTTTTTTTTTTTTTTTTTTTTTTTTTTTTTTTTTTTTTTTTTTTTTTTTTTTTTTTTTTTTTTTTTTTTTTTTTTTTTTTTTTTTTTTTTTTTTTTTTTTTTTTTTTTTTTTTTTTTTTTTTTTTTTTTTTTTTTTTTTTTTTTTTTTTTTTTTTTTTTTTTTTTTTTTTTTTTTTTTTTTTTTTTTTTTTTTTTTTTTTTTTTTTTTTTTTTTTTTTTTTTTTTTTTTTTTTTTTTTTTTTTTTTTTTTTTTTTTTTTTTTTTTTTTTTTTTTTTTTTTTTTTTTTTTTTTTTTTTTTTTTTTTTTTTTTTTTTTTTTTTTTTTTTTTTTTTTTTTTTTTTTTTTTTTTTTTTTTTTTTTTTTTTTTTTTTTTTTTTTTTTTTTTTTTTTTTTTTTTTTTTTTTTTTTTTTTTTTTTTTTTTTTTTTTTTTTTTTTTTTTTTTTTTTTTTTTTTTTTTTTTTTTTTTTTTTTTTTTTTTTTTTTTTTTTTTTTTTTTTTTTTTTTTTTTTTTTTTTTTTTTTTTTTTTTTTTTTTTTTTTTTTTTTTTTTTTTTTTTTTTTTTTTTTTTTTTTTTTTTTTTTTTTTTTTTTTTTTTTTTTTTTTTTTTTTTTTTTTTTTTTTTTTTTTTTTTTTTTTTTTTTTTTTTTTTTTTTTTTTTTTTTTTTTTTTTTTTTTTTTTTTTTTTTTTTTTTTTTTTTTTTTTTTTTTTTTTTTTTTTTTTTTTTTTTTTTTTTTTTTTTTTTTTTTTTTTTTTTTTTTTTTTTTTTTTTTTTTTTTTTTTTTTTTTTTTTTTTTTTTTTTTTTTTTTTTTTTTTTTTTTTTTTTTTTTTTTTTTTTTTTTTTTTTTTTTTTTTTTTTTTTTTTTTTTTTTTTTTTTTTTTTTTTTTTTTTTTTTTTTTTTTTTTTTTTTTTTTTTTTTTTTTTTTTTTTTTTTTTTTTTTTTTTTTTTTTTTTTTTTTTTTTTTTTTTTTTTTTTTTTTTTTTTTTTTTTTTTTTTTTTTTTTTTTTTTTTTTTTTTTTTTTTTTTTTTTTTTTTTTTTTTTTTTTTTTTTTTTTTTTTTTTTTTTTTTTTTTTTTTTTTTTTTTTTT